AGTATACACGCACACACATGCACGTGTGTGTGTGTGTGTTGTTATACATAAATGAATATCTAATGTGATGAGTAAAAGTTCCCCCATCTCACACAGGGTTTCCGTGTATTCGCACTCTGCCTCCGCTCTGAGGGCGCTGGGATTCAGAAGCTTCGAGACGAACACTCGAAACGGCTTCATGTGATTCAGGCCGACGTCACGAAGCAGGACCAACTCGACCGTGCATTGCAAGAAGTCAAGTCACTGCTGCCCGTTGGAGGTGAATGTAAATTGGGGTCTGGGATAGGGTGAAAGGGAGATGATTGGGGAAGACAGGAGGAAGAGTGGGGAAGGAGGTAAACTTGGAAAGGTGGAGAGGGCCGGAGGTATGGGATCTGGGGAAAGAGACCACCGTCATGTTTTTCATTACCACTGATCTCGATCTCCTTAACCATTAATACCAATATTGTTGTTCTTATCACCATTATCAACATTGCTACTTTTACAGTCTCTGTTATCACCATGATTACCCCCCCCCCCTGTCCCCCAGAGGTACTATGGGGTCTTGTGAACAACGCCGGGGTGTGCACCATCGGGCCAGTCGAGTGGATCAGCAAAGAGCACTTCCGGAAGGACCCGGAGGTCAACCTCTTTGGTGTCATAGCGGCCACCAAGACCTTCCTGCCCCTGGTGCGTCGTGCGAGAGGTCAGGCTGGGTCATTCCAAATTTGTTCAGGAAATAATTTTTGCAATATAAAATTTTACTTATTATTTTTTCACGTGTAACGAATATTAATCTTCCTAAATTCCTCATCATGAGGCAATAATCATATCTAATGCGTCCTGTCGGTTTATTAAATACAAGTACGGATCATTTACCCTCTGGCAGGTCGTATCGTGAACGTGGCGAGCGTGGCAGGAAGATTCTGCGCCCCGCTCTTGGCGGCTTACAACGCATCAAAATACGCCGTGGAGGGCTTCAATGATGCGCTTAGGTGAGGTGAAACTCAGACGAAGGTGGAGGCCAGGTGAGGGTGAGGTTCAGAGGAAAGCCCGAAGCAAACTTAGAAGGTAGAGCCAAGGGAGAAGAGAGCAGACAAGCGTGGGTCGAGTTTAGATAAGGAAGGGTTGTACTGTTTGTAACTCAACGGCCCTTTCAGAGGGGAAGAGAGGGAGAAAGGGGAGAAGAAAAGTGAGATGAGAAGATGAAAGGCCAGGATGGGGAGGGGACGGGGATAAGAGAAGAGCGAAAGTGATGAAAAGATGCGAGATACTGGAGTGGGGGGTGAAGTTTAGGTGACAGCATTTTTCGGAAGTGAAACTTATTGGAGTAGTAGCCAGAATAAGGTGATATACGGGGGGGGAGAAGAAAGGGAAGTTTAGGTAACGGCATTTTACGAAGACGAAAAAAGAATTATTGGAGTAGTAGCCAGAATAAGAGGGCAAAGGAGTGGCAAATCTTCCAGAATAAAAGTGGCAATTAAGGCTCTTCATTGAGAATTTAAAGACTTTCCTAACTATTTTCTCCCTCTTGCAGGCTGGAAATGCGTCCTTGGGGTGTCAAAGTGTGCCTTATTGAGCCAGGGAACTTCGGCAGTGGTGAGTTATGCATTATACCGTCAAGTAATGTTGTAATTAGAGTTCACTAGCACTCTTCAATCAAAATTTGTTTTCAGTCATTGTCTCTCCTGTGATAATGAAAATGGTCATGCATATTAGATCGAAGGCTGAAACACCTTTCTGGGAAGAACATACAGACAAAGACAAATAGGAAAAAATCATAATATATTGGATTCCATGTACCATCCCTCTTCCAGAACACTTCATAATCCATACCCTTTTCCTCCTACAGGCACGGAACTCTTCGCCCGAGAGGAAGCATTGAAGGAGGAGGTTGACAAGATGTGGCTTTCCCTGGACGAGGAAATAAAGAGTGACTACGGTGAAGCGGGTCGCAAGAGGGTCGAGACCTTCATGAGGAACATCAGGAACAAAGGGGTTAGTGTGTCCATTTGTGGGTTTGTTTTTCATTCTCTCTCTTTCTCTTTCTCTCTCTCTCTTTCCGTTTCTCCCTCTCTCTTGCCCTTTCTCCCTCCCTCTTTCCCTCTCCCACCCTCCAGTTCTCCCTCAAGTCACATCCCACCACCACCACCCCCCATCCAGATTCAATTCCGCGCGCACCAACCACACTCCCAGAACCTTACTGGACGCTCAGACCCTCACCCTCTCTCCTCTTCAACAGGCCAGCGACATCAGTCCAGTGATAACCGCCTTCACAGAAGCCCTGACTCAGCAACACCCACAGACGCGGTACGACCCCATGGACCCGCTCATGTACTTCACGCTCTTCCTGGCCACGCACTTCCCCGACTGGGTGTACGACTCCTATTTCGCCCTGATGGTTCGTTTGTCCAAGTGAAGGGAAGAGGAGAGGCATTCGAGAAAGCTGGGGAGGAGGAAGAGATGAGGAGTTCCGGGCATATGTCTTCTTTTTTTGGAGACTAATAAAATGTACATCTTTGTGCCTGATATTTCTGTCCTTATGAAATTCGGTCACGTGGAAACATATTAAATTGCCATTTGATTTATTTTGGCAGTATATCGTAAAGCCAAGACTTATCGAGGGGTACTTTATCTTTCTATCAAAATATCTTCACATATATATCTACGTACATTCATAAATCAATATACTGTATTATACATGCATGTATACATGTGCGGCTATTATACGGTAACATACGCGTGTATATACTTTTTATATATTATATAATTATATATTATATAATTATATATATAATATATATATTATATATATATATATATATATATAATATATATATATATATATATATAATATATATATATATATATATATATTATATTATATGCAAAGAAATAGCAAAACTATATTGCATGTATATCAACTTCATACAGAATAATTGAAACACATTAGAATATGAGTATTAGGCAAGGATCAATGGTTTTGTAATAATCCATGTTCTACTAAATCTTACATTTATATTCCAATCACCCAGTACTTATATTGATAGAGGATGTTAAGCGTGGCTCCATATAAGGAACGGGTTGATTGTTCAACGTGAAGTCAGGCGGAAAATCTGGGCGTCAAGATTTTAAGAGAATATTTCCAGGTCGCAAGTTGCCAATTTTGGGAAATGCTACTGTGCTCTTTGTGTAACGGAAAAAGATTACACGTTTTTGTTCTGCACACATTTATTAACTTTTGAAATATATATATTACTAAGGTTATATGAGGGAAATGTCTGATTCCGAATCTTTTTTATTCTTATCAGTGTGACAATTAAATATCGTCCAAAAAACGCCCCACGTAGAAATAAACACCCCTGACTTGCTTTTTTAAATCTACACATATAAATGCTGGAAATGTATTCAACGATAACACCTTTTAAATGACAGCCTCAAGATTTGGAGAAATGATAGATAAACCTTTAAAAAATGTTTATGTGCAGACTTTATGAAATAATTTACAAATGAGTACAAAAACTTTTTAAAGCTTCATTTCAGGTATGATTTATAACACTAACAATCGCTGTTGGTATAAAAACATTTTAAAACATTACCGACATTCTCAATATATTTATATCTTTGAAGTCTATATCTAATATCAACAAATATTTACGCATGAGAAACTAACACATTATTTAATCGGGGTATTTTTTAGGCTCGCGACTGTGACCGGACCGCTGCCGGTGCTGAGAACATTGCCGTTCCAAGTGGCTGTGAGCGCCGCGTCAGTCTTGAATCCTTCCAACATTTTGGCGAGGGCGTCGCTCTTCTTGGTGTTCAATACAGGATCTGGCTCGCCGCTGTATCCTTCGGCTAGGACTCTATCCCCCGGCTTGCTTCCCGGCGCAGGTACGAGAGGCTCGACGGCGGGGGGCTCGCTTGCTGACGCACACAGTACCATCCCTGCCGATTTCACGCCTCGCATGCTGGCCGGTTTCAGATTCGCCAACACCACCACCATCCTGTCGCGCATCTCCTCTATGGGCACGTATCTGACTAAGCCACTGACAATCGTCCTCGGCTCCGCCTCCCCAATGTCGATCTTCTCGACGTACAGCGCGTCTGCGTCCGGGTGCTGGGACACCTCGACGATCTTGCCGACCACCATGTTGAATTTGGAAGGCACGAACTCCTCGCTGCCGGCGGCCTTAGGAGGTCCCTTGGCCTTCTTGGGAGGCGGAGGGAAGGCTTGGTTCTGAAGTTTCTTCATAGATGGCGTTTCTGCTGACTTCCGCACAGGCAGGATTAGTCTCTTGAGGTATTCCGTGACAGAGTTCTTCAGGTCACCTGGATGTATACCCTTGTTCTTAAACTGTTCCACGAGTGATTCAAACGAGGCAATCTCCAAGTCGCCACCATTTTCAGCACTACGGGAGATCTTGAACTTTTCTTCCCCGAGAAGAGGCATTATTATAACCTTCACCAAAGATAAAACTGGATTAAACTCTGTGTTTCCTTCCTCGCAGAAAGCAGACTTGATCTTCTTTTTGATCTGTGACTCCTGCTCTATTAGCTCAATGTACTCCTCCTCCGGGGTTAAGGCGGCTCTGTTTAATAAGGACGGCATCTCTTCACCCAGGAGATGGGTGCGAGGGCTGCCACCCACAACTGGTAGGTGTTTCTCTGCAAACTGGAACACGGGTGCTAGCTTCGCTCCTCCAAAAGCCATGTTAACCTGTAAGTGTTTCTCGTCGAGTGCTAACATATCTGGGTACAAATGTGCAGAGAGGAGGTTTGGATCCTTGACAACACCTGTGACAGCATCAGTGGAGTCCTTGCATGTCACAAGGGCAGTCATCCTGTACAGATCCAAGACGTAAGCTTCATTTTTCTGGAAATCACTTCCCTTCACGAAGCTAATGTTCTCTAACGGGACATTATTTGCCGTCAAGGCAGCCTTGAGGAGCTCCAGCAAAAAGTTTGCTCTGTGACCAGCGACTTCCCAAGGTGACTGACAGGCATCCAGATGTGAAAGAACATCTGAAGCCAACACGGTCACCTTGCATCCAGCAGCTACGAAGTCCCGCACTTTTGCCACCTGACCCAGAAGCCCAACATCTGGTCTCCCTGTAACTGGGACCATCCATAAGACATGCGGGGATGTAGTCATAGCTGTGGATAGAGTGGCTGGGGGTGGCTGGGCTAGATTCTGTGTCATTAGATTGATCCTGTCATCGAGGCTGAGGCCCTCCATGGTGAGGTCCACCTTCCTGGTTTCGTCCATCTGAGTTGGTACAGGTGCTGGCATGTTACTGGGCGATGGGTAGGCCTTCTCTGTGAGTTCTTGCAACTCCGGAGTGTCAAACTCCTTGCGGATGTGGTCCAGCAGCTTGTTCAAGAATTTAATTACACATTTCTTCAGCTCTTCGCCTTCTACTTTTCCGGCAATAAACTCCTCCTTCAGCTGTTCAAAGGAGGAGAAGCTCTGCCCAGTGGCAAGCTCCAGGGTATGGCCCTGTCCTTCCAGAATGGGAAACACTACGTAGTTGACGAAAGACATCACACCATTGTCTGGGTTAGAGGACTCGCACTGGGCGCCCCCCAGCTTCCTCTCCACAGCTTCAGCGGAGTCCAGGAGGTCGATCTTGGAGTCCGCCTCCGATGAAGACATCTTGCCCCCGGTGAGCCCTGGGACCATGGGGTTCATGAGGTGAGACCGCTTCTGGTACCCGATCTTGGGCAGGTATTTCTCGGCATAGGTGAAGATCTTACGCTGGTCGACGCCTCCAAACTGTGCGTCCACGCCCAAATACTCCTCGTCCAGGGCTTGCAGGCCCGGGTACAGGAGCCCAGACTGAGATGGAGCCTCGATCTGTTTTACCACCTCGGCGCCCGCTTTCTTGGCATCATGTTCTGTTACCATGGCAGAGAGCTTGTATACATCGTCCGTAAATTTGGATCCTAGCTGGTAGCTTGTGCCTGGAAAATAAAAAAAAAGGATAATATAAATATTTGTTGTTTTTTGTACACCAGTACCTTTTATGTAATCTGATATATCATTACTGAAGAAAAATGAAAATTAATAGCCTATTTTTAAACATGTATAAACTGTCCATGACTGATGGATTTACTAAACTTTAGCTCACACATAGACGGACAAACATACATAATACTTCTTTGTAATAAAACAGAAAACAGACTCATCCAAACACTAGACTCACCTTGAACAAAATGTAGCTTTTCCAGGGAGACCCCAATCGCCCTGAGCATGGCTTTGATAACTGCTTCATAATACTGCGTGCGGAATTTTATGAGTTCCCATGGCGCCTTCATGTTGTCCAGGTAGGCGTGCAGGTCGGCCAGGAGGATTGTGACCTGTGGTGATGAAAGGTTTAAAACGATGTGGTGAAGCTTATAACTACGGTCGTCTGCAGTGACAGGTTAGAGGTGAGAGGAAAACGGTTTTGACTGATGTGCATATGTATGTGTGGGAGGGGGGTAATATCAGATTGGAATAAGAATGAAAAGGAAAAATGCCAATAATAAAATAGTGATAAGCAACGGGAATAAGTAATAATTCAAAATTTTATATATCGGAAAAGGGATGATGACAAGAAACGAGCAATAAACAATGATTAATTAAACAATATGCTCACTCACACTAATAATGAAAAATATCAGCTACCATCATTTGACAAGCGCAAAAAAAAACAACAGCTCAGACATGGGCTATTTCTATTTGACCTGCACAAAGATGTCCCATAATAATAATAATAATAAGAAAAGACAGTAAACCCCTATTATCTCCCACCGGCACGTGTGGGGCCACTCACCTCGCAGCCGGCCTTCAGGAAGTCTGCGATCTTGGTCATGGGCACGAAGTAGGCGACGTGAGGTTTGCCCGTGGTAGCCGTGCCCCAGTAGATCTTGAGGGGCCTCTCCTTCAAGATGGCCCGGATGCGCTCCTCGCCGATCACCTCGTCCAGCCGCCGCGTCACCAGCTGCGTCCTCTCCTCCGGGGTCATGTTGGCCTTTGGAGGGGAGGGAAGGAGGAGGAAAGAGGGGGAAGGGGAAGGAGGGGGACGGGAGGGGACGGGAGGGGGAGGAGGAGGACGGGACGGGGAAGGCAGGAAACAAAAGAGGGGGCGGGGAAATACGGGGAACACAGGAAACAAAAAGTGGACGAGCGGGAGAGCGAGGAAGCGGGGAAGACAGGAAACAAGAAGTGGGCGAGCGGGAGCGGGAGGAAACGGGGAAAACAGGAAACAAGAGGAGAGGGGGAGGGGGGCAGGTAGAAAACGGGGAAGACAAAAAAACAGAAGGGGGAGGGAAAGGGAAGATAACGCAAATTAGTCTCTGTTCCCTTACCACTAAATTATAATAAAGTGAAAGGCAATAATGATAAACAGAATGGAATACTTGAGTTGTTTTTTTAAATTTGGGGCTTAAGTGATATATATTTTGAAATCATTAATATCAGTACTGTTATCATTGCTCTGTTATTTTTTTTTTAACTACATGCTGTGCCATTAATTT